GAGGAGGTTTATTGGCTTAGCATTTGTGACTTTCAGAGGCTCAGCACTCATAGGAGTGACTGCAGCCTCTTTGCCATCCCCTGTTTTGGAGCCCACTCTGCACCGGGCAGTACCACAACAGAGAAGTTGTTGGCTCCATAGTGCAGCTGGTGACTCACACGTGCCTTCCCACCTACCCACTGCCTGCATGGCACTGTGTGCCAGCACCAAACACGAACTAGGCTCATGATAAAGTGTAAAAACACTAAACTGTCTGAAAAAAGAACAGGGTCTTTACCACTGGAAAAGCCACAGAATGTAACTTTCCCTTGCTCTCCATTCTAAAAGCATAATTGTGCCTTCAGAAAGAAATGACCCTTACAAGATGTCAGTGAATCTGGAAAAGATTAGAAATTTTAATGAACTGCTCTGATTGTTTCCTAATTGGTTAAAACTGACAGCAAAGGAAAAAAAAGGAAAAAAAAAAGACATTAGTGCTTTTCTCTTGCTTAGAGAATTATAATATGGCTTATAATTAAATAGGTTTTATAAGCCATATATTTGCCTTCTGTTGGCCAGAATAATTTAATTAATAATTTAATTAATGTTTGAAAGCCATTGAAACAAGGCTTAATAGCCTTAACAAGACATCATATTTTTAGTTAGAAAACCACACGGTCTTGTACTTAGAAAGATGAAGGATTTATGTCATAGAAAAAAAAATTATATTAGAATAAGGAAACTTAAAAAATTTAGTGTATTTTTTTCCTGTATCTGCCTTCCAAAAGAATTAACAGATACTTTTTGATTGTAACATTTTCTTATAAAATGCAGAATGTTACACTCTGCCTTCAGTTATACTTGGAACACATGGAATTCTACTTCCAGGAAATAAATGGATTCAATCATTTCTTCTTGTGAAATGTAGAGAGAAGCAAAATGGTATATGTAAGACAAAGGCAGAATTTTATGACTTAAAATGTGATGAAATCACTTCAACGTTACAGTAGCAAAGTCAACAGCCCTTTTTCATCTGCTGTTTGGTTTGGGTTTTTTGAGGAAAAGTAGCATGTGACTCTTTCACTCTGGATCTGATTAAGAGATGCCTCAGATGTAAGAGACACTTAGAATTCATGGAGTTGAATTTTTTCTCCAACTGCAAACCAAAACGTATGAATAATGCCATTATTTGCAAGGCTGGTATAAATCTGGAAGAAGTCCACAAGGACTTGGTAACTGAGGAGTTCTGCCTCCTGTGTTCCTGTGACTGAATTCAGTTAAGCTATGTAGGTTCACAACAACAAAATTGCAAGAATTGTCTTTTTTTTTCCTCAAAGGGAGTTTTTTTTGAAACACTACACAAGCTTTTAAGATCAAAACTTTATGTTATGATGGGCAACCTGATCTAACATCAACATTAGCCTTGCTTTGAGAAGGGAGTTGGTCCATATTCCCTCTGAGGTCCCTTCCAGCCTAAATTACTCCATTTCTGTCATTCTGTGATTATTTGAAATGGAGCTGCATTCATGAGCGAGACAGTTGAAGACTCCAGAATAAATTAATGTTACTCTCGTTGTTGTGCCTTGATAAAAATAGTGATCGTGATATGAATTTACCTTTAAGAAAATAAATGTACGTGTTCAATATGAATTACACTGAAGATGTAATGATATAAAACACAGCAGTTTACTACTGCTTTAGTTAGAAACATCAAGAGTGTGATATAAGTACAAAAAAATAATGATCTCTGATAACACAACATGAAAGGATATAGACTGAAACAAGAGGGGATCTGGACTAGGCATAAAGAAAATGTTCTTCCTCCAGGAGCCAAACAAGCACAGGCTGTCCAGAAAAGTTGGAGGGCCTCCATCCTTGGAGGTTTTCAAGAGCAACTGCATTTGGCTTCATTAATGACCTCGCCTGGAGCACGAGGTTGGCCAGGTGTTCTCCTGGGTCCATTCTAAGCTGAATTATCCCATAGTATTATGACTCTCAGTTCCTAATTTTGAAAGCACTTATGGCATGTTTTCTTTCTGGCCCAATCTTTTGATGATAAAATAATAATCAAATTTTAAAATAAGTAGGTCAATCAGAATGTGGATTTGGACTCTGCCTTATTTTCCGCAATATAACACAGTATATGCACAGTATATAATATAGTAACAATATGCACAGTATAACCCTTTTATCCTTCACATCTGACAGATTCCTAGCTCTACAATCGCTTGCCTATACAATAGTATGGGATGTGGTATGGATTTTAGCTAAAATCAAAGACAATCTGCTATTTCAGAGTGAAGTGGTGCGGTTTGTCTCGGATTTCACTTACCCTTTGTTTACCTGTGATTGTAACTAACGAAATCCGAGGAACGACACAAGCAGGAACAAAAATGAAGGCAGACACACCCTCTGTGGATTTGTTTATTCAGTAATACTTTCTCTCAGCTCACCCGCCTCTGCTGTGCAAACAGACAGCTCTCATTTGCTGTGATATACAAAGTTTCACTGAAGCTGCACGTTAGATCTTGTTTGAAAACCTAACCTGGAAATCTCAAAAACAAGACTAGTATCTGCCATTGATTTCAACAATCTTCTATTCTGACACGGTTTGATATGAACCCTGATAACCCCCATGCTTTTAGTCATACTCTCGGCTCGAAACTCAGAGTCACCGCTGTTTGCCACCGTCGAACTTTCCGTCTGGGGGCCAGTGTTTGCGGGCGCGGGCAGAGTCCCCGTCCCGTGGCCCCCGCTCGCCCCCCGAGCCGCAGGTGTGTGCGGGGCCCTTCCCGTCCCTCCCTCCTTCCCAAGGGTCGGGCGCTGCCGGAAAATAGCTGCGGGGAGGGGGCGATGCCAAGGGCTCCCTCCCGCCCGCCCCGGGCTCTGCGCGTTCCCATGGCGACGGCGTCCTGGCAACCGCTCCCGCTCCCGCAGCCCGGCCTGCGGCGGCCGCCCCGCTCCCATCCAGCGCTCCCCTCCACTCCCAGCCCAGCCGCTCCGCTCCGCGCAGCCGGTCGGGAAGGCGGACGGACGGACGGACGGGCCCCCGGCGGCGCAGCGGCGGTGACGGCGGTCGGGAGCGGAGCGGGGCTCGGAACGGGGATGCGCGGCAGCGGGGGGCAGCCCTGCCCTGCCCCGAGCCAGCGCCGGTGAGTGAGCGCAGAGCCCGTCCCGGCTCTGTCCCTCCGTGTTGCATGGCCGTGCAGTGGTGTGTGACCCGTGGTGTCCTGTCGCACGTCCCGTGTTCCCCGCAGCCATCTCCGCGCCCACCGTGACCCCTGCGCCGCGGGGCCGGGGCCGAGCAGCGGGCAGGGCAGGGCAGGGCAGGGCAGGGCAGGGATCCGGCGCCATCCCCCCGCTCGGAGCCCCTCGGCACGGGCACGATCGTCGCACCTATTTCCCCAGAGGGGCCTTGGCCTGGCCTGGAACCGCGGGCGCGGCGCTGCCGGGGGGTCCCTCCCGCAACCCCTCGCACACTGCGTCCGAGTTCAGAGAGGTCCGGCGGGGGCTGATTCTCCCCGACACTGCCGCCTTTTGACCCATCTTTTGGCTGAGCTGCAACACAAGGACTTTTTCTCTTACTCCAAAGCGTCCCTCAGAGCACTTCAGAGTAACACTGGGAAGCTGCCAGGGTGGTGTCACACATTCCCTGCGCAGAAACCAAAGCGGTTGCTATTTTAAGAAGAAAAGAGTGATTAAAGTGTTTGCCTAGGCAGGTATTTCAGTCTGCTTTGATTCCCATGTGACTTGTGGCAAGTCACATAGCCCGCCCCGTGCTTCACTTCCCTAGCAGCAACAGAGGGAAATTATGTTTTCAGGGATAATAATGCTTTCCTACCCCGCAGGTATATTGTGAGAATGAATGTGAAAAACACTCCGAGGTGCACAGACGTTACAGCAAGTATTAGACGCAGGTTATCGTGGAAGATGAGGAACCGAATGTTACAGATGTGATTATCCTTCATAACAGGAGAAATAGAGAATCTACAGAAAATAAACGTGCAAGGCAGTCCGAGAAGTGGGGAAAGGAAGCCACAGCACAAATAGCAAGGAGTGAACTGTACATTGCTAAAAGTGTTTATTCGTCATGTTCCATGGGTGATTTTTACACATCTGATGCCAGTGACTTAAAGAAACAATAAGGAAGTAATCCATGTTTTTATGGAAAAGCTGCCTTGTGTGTCAGGTGAACTGTTATTTTTGGCACAGGCATACAGTTCTCAACTGGGGAAAATCTTTTATCTTGTCCATGTGACAAGTACATTTGGAATATTCAGTAACTTAAATTAATCAACCCAATATTTACTGGATTAATATATCATGACTTAAATTGCTATAGGAGTATTAAGTAAGAGACAACATCATTAAAATAAAATTAAACACCTGTAGCAAGTATTTCAACTGGTATTTAACTTGGTCCCAGTTTACTACCATTAAAATTGCAGCCATGTGAAATTACATTCCTCTGAATCCAGGCATCAGAACATCTTCTGTTTTCTTTTATATTTACTAGTCTAAGTTGGTATTACATACACTCATAGAGAAGGAATTTGTCATTAGTTCTGACATGGATTTGCTACAGATTATTGCAAATACCTCCAAACTGCAGGAAAGTTTTGTACAACTGTTGAATAAGATCTTAAACACATCCTTTCTGGCTATTGGATCAGATCAAGAAATCATAACTGATGATGAGACATTTCACTGTGTACTGAGGGAAGTGCTTAAGTTTGCAACAACAAGTGACTGAGATGTTCGCCTGTGTGGCTTTTGTTCCATGTGCACAATTTCTTGAGATACTTTCATTTAGCTGCATGTCTAACCGTAGTCTGGCAAGGAAAGTTAAAGCTTCAAGCAAACCTATGCTTCCTCTGCTACAAACATTTTTTTCCAATTGATAATAAATAAATACTGAAGGCTGTAAGATTAAAACACTGTATGGCTGGTTTTTATAAGGTGTATTTCACTAAGAAACTGCTACTGTACCAACTTTAACACTTGTTCTTTGCTTTTCTAGGTAGCATCCAGTGCTTTGCTTCTGTGGCACACACAGCTCTTCTTAAATCTGTGAGATAATCCCTGTGTTCAAATGTTTCACTGCATCAAGATCATTAAAATGTGTTAAGGCCCAGAGGTCTAAGGTGGTGTAACCTGGTGTAATCTGGGGATACAGCCAGGAGGGACATCTGGAGAGTGGTGGCGTTGCTTAAAAACCAACTGGGAAATGACGGTGTGAGGAACAGATTGCAGAACTGGACCTTCAGTGTCTGAGCAGGATTTTGAATGCAGAAGTCATCACAATGATAACAGCTCTTATATCCTGCTTTTTACTCATAGCCATGTAAGAACTTAAACACTGAGGTAGGCATCGTTATCTCTCTTCCATATGGGGAAACTAAGTCATTAGGCATGGAAATAACTTTTCTGAAGTGGGGTCAGAGATTGAGCAAGGAGTTAAATTCCAACCTTCTGAATTCCTCTCTATTGTCATTGCTGCTCAGCAATCCACCTTGTCTTAGAACTAATTTTTTTCTAATTTGTAGTTTCCAAAGCTCGGTGCTATAAATAGAACACACACACTGTGACAGTATTTGCTCTCTGCTTTCAGGCACTGCTTTCATACATCTCTAAAGCACAAACATGCTTTGCATTCTGAGATCTCGGGGGGCAGCCTTATTGCTTCTACACAAGCACTGTTTGGCTCTTTTGTTTCCGTAACCCATTTCTCTCTTTCTACTTGTAGGGCATAATGCACAGGATTTCATCAGCTATTGCAAGATTCTTTTCATACATCAGCCTTTAGTTTTCAGTGAGGATTTTAGGTTCCCAGGGAGTTCAGGCTTAGGCAATGCTCATTCTCTTAATACTTAAAAATGTTGATTTGTTTTATATAGGGTAGAATAGTTGGATTTGATTGAATCTTTGTCATTAATTTAATTTATTAATTTAATTAATTGATTGATTGAATCTTTGTCATTAATTTAATTTCTGTCAGCAGATAAAGCTTCTGAGCCAGGTACTGGTCTCACAGTAAGATATTAAAATCTTTCTGAAGCTATTGAATAGACCTACTCTGCTGCAATGTCTGTCACTGGCTGGCAGTGTCTAAAAATTTACACTATAATCTATATTCTTACCACAGAATAATTTACTTACAACAGAAAGTGTGGTCATTTAGATTTCAAGACAAATTAATAAAAGACTCAATTTTGTTAAACGATGCTGATGTCACACATTTTATTTAGGTTTCTGACTGCCAGTGCTTTTACCTGAAAAGCACCTTACCTCTAATAATCTGCTGTAATGAAACATTTGTATTTGACTCTCCAGTCAATATTTTCCAAAGCTTTATGATAATCCTGTAGATCTTACTTTATTATTCATTGATTAATTATGTCTGAGACCATAGACAGATTGGGGACAAGCAGTTTGTTTACCTTTGTCCTGCCAAACCGGTTCTGTAGGTCAACAGCAGATTTCAGTTTCGAGGCTGTCACTCTTGCCTTTTCAAGAGTATAATTTTCACTATAAAAAGCTTTTTAGCACTTTTTAGTCTTCATTCTTTTGTATCTATTTTTAATCTATAACTTTACTTAAAGGTGCACTTAAAGCAAAAGAATTAAGTAATTTCAGTAGCCAATATAAACTACTCAATAATTCAATGTGTACTTTTTCAACAGACATAAGTTATTGACCAGAAAATGGCCCACCGAAGCCCAATCTTCCCAACTCTTGCCCCTTCTGAAAGGTACAGTTTGGAATATAAACATTAAAATCTTCATATTGCAGAGTATTATGTGTCTCTTAACTCCATATGTATAGTAATGCTGTGACTTGGGACTTTGGCAGTAGTATGCAAAGCAAAGTGAAATACTGTAAACATTCAAATCATGGCCCAAATCACAATTCCTTGCTCAGCTTTTACTCAACCATTTCCCAAATAAATTAAATAGTTTAAACTCTGAGTAGAAGTCCAACAATACTTTACTTTAGCCAGTCTTCTAATAGCATGGAACCAGTGTGAAAACTCAGAGCCAAGAGTACCTGTATTAAGAGTCCTCATACATCTCTAACAATATTATCATGGTGAAACTGAACCGCTAATTGGGCTTATTAATAGGAATGAAAATGAGAATGCACAGTAAATAACACAATCCCAAGAAAAGATCTCCTCTTTCAAAGTGGTGTTGAACTTGTATCTTGCACTTATGCTTGTGAAAATTTTCATTATTCTTTACAGAGTATAGTGGTAGGAAAAGATTGCATGAACTAGCAGCCTAATTGTTTTACTTTCAGCACCCATGAGCTCCATTGCATTCCATGGAAGCTATGCAAGTGCACTGCACCCTTGAAAAATATAGACAAATATTCAAGGTACCCAAATGTAAGCTATTTTGGGGGGAAAATTTGTGTTCTAAGACTATGAGAAGTTTGTAATAATTTTGGTCTTTCTATACCCACATATGCACCTGTCCAGTTCATGGGGGAACAAGCTTCTGTATGTATTACACGATAGCTACAGAGACTGAAAAAGGAATTGACACAAGCTACTCCTTTTCAGTCTCAGTCTGTTTGCATTTAATTTGCAATACCTCCCTTCTACAGTAACAGCTTAGATTAAGCCTGAAAACTGCCAAGACAAATAACTTTACTTTTGAAACTCATTAAAGGGTCTTGAATTTGGATTCTTAACCAAATTCTAGTTCTGAGCTGTAACTACTTTTGTTATGCTAATGCCCTTTTCTTAAGACCCTATGCTTTTGTAAGCTCCCTTAAAAAGAATTAAAGGGAGCCTGACCTGCCTTTGTACAAGACACACGCAGTAGCCAACATAGCACCCGCTTATTTGTAGCAGTGGGCCCTCTCTCTCAGTACTCTCCCAGTACTCAGATAGTATTGCACTGTCTCCCGTTTAAAGACGTTGCAGAGTTTTGTGGGAACTTAACAATATCTCGGATATTCTTCTCCACTAGACGGGTTCGGAACATCCCGCTGCACAGCCAGGCACTGACAGCGGTCCCGCTGGCATCTGCCAGCCTGGTGGATCAGCTGGAAGACAGAATCCTAAGCCATGAGAAAACAACGGCGGCCCTTGTGGAACACGCGTTTCGCATTAAGGAGGACATTGTTTCCACTCTGCACAGAATGCAGAACAAAGGAGGGGGAGACCGGTTGGCCCGGCAGCTCTTGGAGGAACACATCCGAAACATAACGGCCATAGTGAGGCAGCTCAATCGGGACATTGAGGTATGTCAGGAATGTCCCACAGCACTAATGCCATCCCAGCTACATACTCCTGCTAATTTCCTAAGAAAGTTTACCACAGGATAAGCAGAGGTCAGACAAGGTCTGAAGATCCTGTAAGTTTATAAATTGTTTTTACAACTTGAAAAAGTGTTTGCAAATTACATAATTCTTTCAGGGGCTATGAAAATAGCACAGGATATTAGCATATAAACACAGAAGCCTTTGTGGTTCTAATAAGCTTGCTTTCAAAAGCTGCACTGGAAAATCTTGAAAAAATGAATTAATGCGACACTAATACCCAGCTCAAGTTCAGTCCAAAGGCTGTGCTGTATAAACAGTAGGAAATGCCTGAGCTCTGTAATAAACTTTCTTTCCCTTCTGACTCACTGATGACACCAAGTAACCAAACCCAACTGCTCATTTTTATGACCTAATCGTATGCAGATCCGTGACTTCACATATGACCTCTGTTGCAGTGAGCAACAGGGGTGTGGTGGGGAAAATGAAAGGATAAAACCTAATATCTTTCATCCTTTCATTTTCATTGTCAAGTTATACTTTATGCATATTATGGTATTTATGTGCAGATGGGACACTAATAAGAAGAAACAACAAAATGTCTAAAAGATATCTGTTTTAGTACATTGCAAGACCAAGTTTTTAATAAAGTAATAATAAAATGGTATCTGAGGATACTGAACGACTGAAAAATAGTGAGTGACATTTTACGTGTACATTAAATGTGACATACTGAGCTTTTATTTGCATATGAATGCTTTGTAGATGCTGCAGGAACAGATACGTGTCAGAGACAATCTCAGCTATGGAACAAATTCTACCCTGAAGAGTTTGGAAATGCGTCAGCTTTCTGGCTTAGGGGATCTTCGAGGAAGAGTTGCAAGGTAAAAGTCAACATGGAACTGTATTTTGGGGGCTAGTTAATGTTGCTTTAATCTTAAAGTATTAATGTTAATGATAATGGGCTGAATTCAACTTTGGCAAAATTCCCAGGATAATTTTGTTCTGTGTTTTCAAGAAAATGAATAATAATCCTTTGCATTTCAGTATTGCATATTAAACTCAATAATATCACCTTTAATTCCTAAAATTCCTGGAATTAATTTTAAATAAATTACTTCAAATTCCTTTGGCAAATTTGCATTTGGTTCAGCTTTAAAAAGTACTGTGGTTAGACTCATGTATCTTTGAAACACATTAATTAGCACAATTAGAAAGGCAGCACGGAACAATCTGCACTTGAGAAGAACAAAATAGTTGCACATTTTTGCATATAGTTTAGAAATAAAAATCTGCACATTCAGTTGTTGGTTAGTCATATTAAAAACCACATGGCTATGTGGCACATAAGGAACAGAAAGCTACACAATAATAGAGGTTTCACAGGCTGCCTGATCCTCCAGGTTACAATTGTGCAGCTACACAGACTTCACTGTGCCATCAAACCCCAGCACAACAACATTGGCTTAAGAGTCCCTAAAGTTGAACACAAAAGACAGAGGATATGTACAGCTACAGGGAAAGGACCTAATCTGGCCTAAAGCAGCTTGGCTAATAACTTTGATGGAGCTATACTTGGCCTGATTTTGACCTGCTGTCTATATTGCACATGTAATTTTTCTTTCTTCTTTGTATGTCAGCTGATTTAGTGATAACTTTCAAAAGCCTACAGAAATAATCAGGGAGGGATTTTCTTGAACTGCAGTTTTCTCATAAATTATTCAGTTGTCTGAAGCTTCCACTGTAACTTTCATAGCCCATTTTGTAAAGAATACTTTAGAGAGGTCATAAAAATAATTAAAAATTTAGTAAGTTATGCACTATGCTTTAGCAAAAATGAATGAAATAGTTTATTTTGTCAAATCAGAAAACTGATTGAAAGAGAGACACACACATGTATCTCATTGAAAAATGCCCCAAAATACATGCCTAGATCTTTCTGCTTCTTAATATAAAAAGTCCACTTTGAGATCATCCTACAACCTGAGAGGGTTGTAGTTGCTCCATACTTGGAGCAACACCCTTATTGTCACTTTGGGAAGCACAATGTAGTGCCTTTGCCTCCAGTAACAACTCAAGAGAAGAAACAGGTGCTGGCCTGGACATCAAAACCGGGCCCTTGCCTGCCCCACGTGCTCAGAACAGGAGCAGTGGGGGACTGGCACACCCTGTGCCAGTTTCCTCCTTTATTTACGGGGCACCACCTGGTACTGTGCTTGGGTTGCAATTTATCTGATAATTGTGTGAGATTAAACCCATCTGCCTTATGTCAGACTGTGCAACAACTTCAGGCTATTTGTATTCATTACCTTAAGAGAATCAGTTTATTGTCTTTTTACTGTTATCTTCTCTTCTACCCTCTGTGCTTCTCTTCAGCATGCTCTCTACAGAAAAAAAATTCCCTGAACGAGGAAGAAAAAAAATCTTCCCTCTATCAGAAATCAAGTTAAAGCAGTGTTCCGTGAGAGAAAACTATTTTCCTTTATTTACACACAGATTCTACTTTGAAAATTAGTGTTGCTGTGAATAATGATTACAGCACCAACTGGAGAATATGCTCAAGAAAGTGGTTTCTTGTGCTGTTGGCACAATACAGAAGTTTTCCCTGGGATAAACAGTTTCTGATTACTCTAGCCAATGTTCCTTACCTAAAATAAACTTTACTTACCTAACGCAATTTTCCTTTCACATCCTGCCCTGCAAGCTTTCAGAAGAGTTCAGAGTGAAACATTAGAAACATGATCAAGTTCCTATGGGTCACCACCTTACTCTGCATCAGCTTTCAGCCCCAGTCAAGGTGTGGCTCAGGCTGCAGTGATGGGCTCATGTAACTCCAAGTCCAGCCTGTGTGCTCTCGGCTATGGGTGTGCAGACGCACACTGGGGGTGACTCAGCTCGTACAGGCTGCACCACAGTGAATCCCAAAGTCTGAGCCCTTTGCTCATGTAATAATTTTAATGTCAGCCTTAGGATTCTGGCCATATTTCAGTTCCAGTAATGATATGCGTATTAAACATCCTATTCAACTTCAATATTGGAGAGAGTGGTGTTTATTTCCTAACACCAACTGTTCTGTAACATGTCAATACATCATCAAACAACTCTCTGGTTATTTCTTGAGGGTTGCTGCTTCTAATGATGAGAGCAGGGATCCCTATATGCATATGCAGTTCTGAAGCACAGCTCCAAACCACATTCCCCACAGCTCTGAAGGAGTGAGGTTTGGACATACCTCACTCACATCATAGAATCAATCAACTACTATTGCTATCAGAAGATGACTGAATACACTTTACAGCTCATGTCTCTGGATCATTTCTCAATAAACACAGTTTATGGATGAATTTGTAAAGCATTATCACAGTGGTCACCATGAATGATTCCCAAGAATCAGCATTATTATTAACTTTAAGAAAAACTATTATCTCTGGTTAATTCAGTGACACATTCAGCAGAAAATTAGATAGATGCCAGTAGACCCATTTCTCCAGCCTCCTGTCCATGATGTTGTCAATTTTATATAACATAGATTTAACAATTATTTTTCTAATGATACTAAATCATAAAGTTCAGTAGTATGGCCTTATCATTTATTTAGAGAATTACTTGTGTACTATAAACATTTGTCTGGAAAGTTTAAATGCAGCAACCTCTAGAAGCTTCCTGATGGCTAAAACATCCAGAGAAACAGCAACTCTGCATGTTATAACTGGGCCTACTTTGCATGTATAGATGATTTTTTTATACATGTTAGAGAACTGATTCATTTCAGACAACCTGGGCTCATTAGATGTAGGCAGAGTTTCCTGCACTGCACAGAAAATGAGTCGGATGCATCTGGGACTCACTGAATTTATGGACTTCTTGGGTACAATAAATCTGCTGTGCTCTGGCTCTTGCTGTGTAGGAGGTGAGCCCAGGGGGGCTGCTCTGGGCTCCTGGGCCAGACCAGCACCACCTGTCAGCTCTGCTGGTCCTTCCTAATGCCTGCCCTGCACGTATCTCCTTGCCTTTCACTACTTGTTCTTCAGCTGCTTGCTTTTCACTGGAACTCCGGCATTTTAATTGAAACCTCTCCTGTTCTAATAAAACAGGAAGATTAAAATCTCTCTGCGTACCATTACAGCCTATGTATAGAGCACCCAGTTGCAGAGTGCTGGCACAGCTCTCAGCCTTATCTAGGCTTTAGTGGTACTGAGTGGAGCAGCTACTGCCTTTGGATTTCTTAAAGGTTGAAGACAACAAAAATACTCTTCAATATGCCAGCAAAATAACTACTACTTTTGCTGACTACAGCTTGGAAGGCAGTTTTTTGATAATTTAACTGTTTATATTAAACTTTATTGGTTTCTAGAATTCTACTATATTCTGAAATTGAGGATAATACTTAGCAGTATGAAAACTCTCCATCTATTCTTCATTTACCAATCTCACCTAAGTACACAGCTTGCAATCAGAACTTTCAGAGATTGTCCCCCAAAATGAAACAGTAGCAAAATGAACACATTCTAGTGCATCTTTGGTCCCAATTTCAACAGTGCATGTGTGCAACTGCATATGAAAAACTGCACTGGGTTGTTTGTATGGACAGCTTCAGTATTTCAGAGAATTATTTATTGTGCACTTCTTTGTACAAAACTGTTTTATACTCAGCTCTTATATTTTTAAACTAGTATCTATCCTAGAAATCTTAATCTATTTCTCATGTCTTTCCTTGTGCTTTTAGGATGACCAAACCTTGAAAATTGTTTCCAACTTCTGTCTTTATACCTATAGCCCACTGGCTACATCTATAGAGACAGTCTGAATAAATTAAATACAGTGTTCAGCAACATCTATTTCTATTTTTAAGAAGACTTCTATTGTCATTTTAATATGAATCCATAAAGAAGATTCAAAGAAGAACTCACAGAGGTGTGGGGAATTCAGTGTGCCATTTTTTTTCTCCTTTCTCTCTCTTTTTTTTTTTTTTTTTTTAATCTGGGAAAAATTCCAAGCTATAATGTTCCCTTGTGTTTAGATTGTTGATTGTCTTCCAACCCATCAAACGGTAGAAACCTGAATCAAAAGTGTTAGAAAGCCCATGCTTTTCCATATGTTCATCTTATCAGTCTCCCTTCCTGTTTGAAAGCCAGTGGAATCAGGGAATGAAGTTATTTAACTGTCATAAGTTTTTAACTCTCATTCTTTGAAACTGAACACTAATATTTCTTTCCAGGTCAAAAGTAATCAGGTGTTTGTGAGTGTGTACAACAGATATGGCAGAAAAACCAAATAATCTGATCAATACACACAGCAAGCTGACACTAAATTAACATAGTCAGAATTTTAGCGTTTCAGTTACCGTGGAACTACATGAACCCTTTGCCCAGGTAACTGAATTCCATGAAGAGAAGAAATGCTCTGTGATTAAACCTAAAACACTTCTTTGCCTTAAAAACAATTACAGATGCTTGCTGTTTACATTTGCTTCAGTAGTTTCAACGCTGTTGCTTTTTATACATTTTCAGTCATGCCTCAGAGAAACAAAACTAACCATTTTTGGAGCCCACAGCATTTTGGTGATTAGATGTAAGATGATTTCATTGCACTGATTCTTTCTGATTGTAACAATGGGAGAGATTTGGTTTTCCTCATCTTTCTAAAGAAAGTGCCTGACTGTGAGACCCACAAATAAGGTTCACTGCTAGGTAAACCTCAGCTGCTCTTCCTACAGATATTACTGACTGGTCTTACTACGCTGACCTGCTCCACCATAAATTGATTTCTGCAAGTTTTATAATGTCTATGTGCTATTTTGCATGACTGATTATTTTCTTCTTGAAATTGTACCATAATAATAAATAGATGATCCATTTGTCATCTTAGCTGGGACTTTCCCTTTATGTTTAATGATACTGTCAGTTACTGTAACTGAGGTGATGAACATGCATGTTGGAATGAAAGCCTGCAAACTGAAATTTGACTAAAAAGAGCAGAGTGTGTCATTAGTTTAGGTAATGACTAAACATGCCTCAGCTGGTTCCATTTTATTGCCTTTTTTCTCTTAAATTGTAACTGCTGTCTGTTCCCCATCAGTTTTCTAGATCAAATTTGGCAATGTTGCTGATTACATATTTCCCTTAGCAAAAACTGTCCATGAGTCACACTTCACAGAGGTCTTACTCCTGAAATCACAGTACCTACATTTTTATAGCTCAGTTAATGCCTTTATTGTATTACTGCAGATGAAATCCACCTGGCCAAATTCTTTTTGAAATCTGGTAGAAAATGCACATATTCTAGAGCACATTTAGACTGAAAATGTTACAGCATCAAGAAATGTTCCAATGTGAAGAAAAGAAACAATAATTATTATGTTCCAGGACTTCATTTAATAGTCTTTTCTGAGACAAAATTGCAATTGCTTTCAATGACAATTTATTTATTTACCTAAATAAAGACTAAGAAATATAAAATTTTGCCCCACATTGTTTACTACACATTTTAACTGTATACTGCTATTTCACAAATAAAAATACAAAGCTACAATAATGAAAAAATGGTCCTTAATCATTTAGGCTTCTCATCACATAGATGAAATCCTACATGCCTAATCAGATGTCTTCTGGTGTATTACAATAGTACAAGGTAATGAAATTGTGCATCTTTGCCTTTCTGCTGTGATTTCCCTGACCAATAACACAGTCTGCCCATACTGTGGCAGTGTCAAGAGGACTGAAATATGTGTATCAGACCATTGGACCTCAAGCCCACTTGGGAGCAGTTTGCTGAATACCATGAGCTATACGTGACAGTTCTTACAGTCTCAGAAGACATTTCCCTAGACAGCAGTTTCACAGAAATGGCCAGTATAAACTAGAAAATTTTAAAAGCCTGGACCTCATATTCTATTTAGCTGTTGCTTTTTTTCTTTTATCTGTTCAAACAGGTGTGATGCTGGGTTAGCCAGACTGTCTGCAGAGCATAAAATTACATATGAAAGACTTCAGAGCCTAAGTAAAGACCAACACACTTCCAAGTTGATCTTAGAATCTAAAGTCAAAGAGGCAGAAATACAGGTATGGTATTTAGACCAAAGCAATCAGTGTACAGGTAAGCGTTACAGTCTAATTCACATAGACTCCAGTACTGTTAATTATTATCCTGGGAGGTCACAGATTTGCAAATGGAGAGGTGTATCTGCTCACAGTCCTTGTTACATTGAATATTGGTACCCACCTGCATTCCTGTATGGGTCTAACTGAAAAAAGGTCCTTAATTTCTGCCTTCAGCATACCGTGTAGAAGGGACTAGTGTGTAAAGGCATCTGAAAGGACTACAGGAACAAAGAAAAGCGAGTGATTACTGGCCTGAATGGCTTCCTGAGGTTGGAATGTGAATGTGGCATGGATGCACCACAAAACTACTACAATGCAAGCATCAGTGTCTCTCCCTGTATGTTTTGGCCTTCCCAGGATGATTCTATACCTGTTTGAACAATTTTTGAAGGTCTGCAAAACAAAACTGGCTCTGGGTTCTGTGAATCCAATAATCTGTCCGTCAGGTTTCTCTTCCATTGGGTTTGAGAATGGAAGCAAGCACTAGATACAAGCAGAGACTTGTGACATTAAGGGAAAGGATTCTTCATATCTCTGTCTCAAGGCCTTCCCATTTTCTTGGTCAACAAAAGTATTTTACATCTTCATTTTGCAGTAGGTAAATGGATAAAATCCACTTCACCTTTCTCAGAAGGCTCAGTGTAGTACCTTAGCATATCAGGAGGCTGTTGTCATGCATCTTGTAAACCAGAACTGTCTTGTGAAAGTGGGATGATTGTTTTGGTGTGTCGAGAAATATTTTCTTCTAGTAATGACCTATCTCCAGTTAAACTCAGCCCTTCTGTCACTGCAGTGCCGTTATACACAGATTGATGGTGTACACACCCCTCAGTGTTGGTGGAGTGCTTTTGCTATTTATTTACTATGCTTATGTGGCAACGTGGAGATGTAAGGATTCTGCAAATCCAGCTGTCTCAAGCGGGATCAAGCAGATGCTTTCAAGGCAAAACTATTTCAATTATTTAAGGCAAAAAGAAATTACAGTTTTCAAAATATTGATACTTTCATGTTAAGAGATACTATATTTTTCAAGATAAAGTAAAAAATACCAATTCAATAATTGTAGAAACGTTAGCAGAAGTGATCTCTCTAAGACCTTCTCTGCTGTTATGGAAATGTCCCAAATGAAACTGTGAATGAAATGCTGCTGAAAAATAGTAAATTCTGAATTTTGTTTCAGATTTCTCACCTGCTGAGCAGAGTAGAGCAATCAATAATGCAGCAAGAAGCAAAGCTGAAAGTTGCCTACAAAGAAAGCAACCAACAGCTACAACTCCTGGACACCAAGTAGGTGCTGCTGCCCTGTACCCTGGGAGACAGAGCCTCAGTTTTCCAAGTCTGACTGTTGCAATCTTCAGGTCTACAAAAGCGTGAACCTCTTTAAATATGTGTTTGCTCCACAGATATTATGAAAGCAAAATGGTCTGTCAAGTGGGACTTGCTTTCAGCAAGAATCCCACCCCTAATGTGCTTAGACAGTTTTGAAAAGTTCATTAAGTCCCTAGTTAAGTATTTGGGCAGAACTCGTACTAAAGGACACAACTAAGGATTTTTTAAAGAGTGGCCTGGTACCTTTCTTGCCCTTCTGCAAGAACTGTGCCAATGAAAGCTGGAGGTGGCTGTCCAGAGCAGGGCAAAATGTTCAACTCAAGCAGGAAGCAAAGCACAGCATTCACAAAGTGTTACTGCTTTAAATTGCCTTGAAACACGAATATAACTGAAATACCTAAATTGTTAATGATAAGCTACTGTGCTACTACCAGACATTATATGGGGACATTATATTCAATTCAGATATTAACTCTTCTCCAGCCAATTCACTCAGTGGCAGTTCTGGTATAAGCCATCCACATCCTTACTCCTTACCGCTTCTTGCCATCCTCATGCAATCCTACCAGTTACATCAATAAAACTGTTGGCAAACCAGACTCAGAATAGACCCAGATTTCAAATATTCACTGGAAAAAAGAAACAGTTTCACTGGCACATTGTGTTGGTGTAAAGCTGAGGTGGGTACAGGCGATGTAAGTGGGGCTACTTGAACCAGCATTGCCACCAAAATAAATGGTTATCAAATCTTTGTTCAGATTTAAGACCTCTGGGCACAAAGATTATCATCTGAATGGATGACCATATTCTATTTCCAATATCATAGTGAATTTTCATCTGCTAGGCTTCAAAATTTGTGATGAGTTTTGTATAAATAACTGCTATTTTGTTGTGCTTTTCCACCTTTATTTTCTAAAACAATGTTACTTTATCCAGTTTAGTAGCCTTATAATTCAAAGACTCACCTTAACGTGGCAAGGAGAAAGTATCAAATTGCCATTATATTATGAACATTTTCATTAAAAAAGTCACTGCTGAATGACCAGTTCTGCCCCTTCGTACCTGCTAATTTCCATTTTGCTCTCAGATTAAAAAATGCCATTGAGGAACTGAGCAGTCAGATTTTGTCTGCACGCAGCTGGTTGGAACAGGAACATGGAAAGATTGAAAAAGAGCTGGTGCAAAAAGTTGAACAACTCTCACTGACTTTTAAGGAAAACACAGTAAGTTTCTCTAAAATCTGTAGTACTAAGGAAGTATTCAAAAAGCTTCATTAATAACTAAGATGATATAATTGAGCTACTATTTGAGTGAGATTTTCAAACTGACTCTGTATTTGCATAAGTATCTTCACAGATGTAAAGTATAACATTCCCACAACCTTAGAATTTTTAAATAAAACTGATCACTGCTAAATAGATCAGTAATAGCCTACAGTAATCAAGTCAGTTAAAATCATTTTATAGAAAATTATAATTCCTTACACCTTTCAATTCCATATAAAAGACAGTCAATCAATATCTATTTCATATTTTTGAAAGACTACGGTTATTTCATGTGCAGAGTAAATCATTAAAATTCTTTTTCTGGCCTCCAGGAAATGAGTGAGAGAGCTTTTGAGATGAAATTCAACCAAATGGCAGAGAAAATTGAGAAAATAGAAGAAATACAGAAGATAACCATGGATGCACATGAAGCAAAACAGACTGAAGAAAGGATAAATATTCGCATTGGCAAACTCCAAAATGAGATAAATGAAGATATAAAAGAAATGAAAGCCGAAGTTAATGCTGGTAGGACCACAGTTATTGAGTCCTTTATTCTGAATTGTGGTAACAGTGAGCAACTTATAAGAATATCCAAAATGTCTTTGTATCACATTAGTTTAAATACATTTGGGGCAGGGATAATGGCTACACCTGTGTCATCAAGAAGGATTTTCATGAAGTGTGCCATTCATAGCAATAAGGGGTATTGTTATTATCTTGCCCTCCCCAGAGCACACGCAGCCATAGCTCGGCTGTGACCAGGGGCATTTGTGCCACCAACACAGTTACATCCTATTTTCCTTCAGAACTTTTGCTCTTCCTAGTACAAAGCAGAGTGTTACAGTGGGAAGCAGATTCTGGTAGTGGTTATGTGATGCTCTTGGTTATGAACTAATGCAATTCTCACCTGCAATTAGGATTTGCAGCCATCTATGAGAGCATTGGGTCTCTGCGGCAAGTTCTAGAAGCAAAAATGAAGCTGGACAGAGATGAACTACAGAAGCAAATCCACCAAATGAAGCAGGAGGTTCCAAGATGGGGAGAGGCTGGACCATGACTTCAAGATTGTGTCTGAGAGATTCATGTTTACCTGGCTCAATAGGCAGACTCTAGTCTTGTTCCAGTCTGTGACCCAAATTAATTGCATGTATCAATGACATGCTGCTGTTGCACATGTCTGTGTGGTGACTCAAAGCAGTAAATGCAAGCTCTTCACGGATAACCAACATGCAGCCCTTGGGGCTGAGGTGTTGATTTGCCACTGCACTACTCTAGTTGCTGTCAGGAAATTAAGCACTGTGTAAAACTGGAGTAATATATTGGTGAAGCTGGCACCTAATTTGCTAAAGGCATTGCGGTTTTGCAGGCTTGGGCAGGCAGCCATATACTTCTATATATAAGCACCTGCACTACCCCACCCCTCTCCTCTTTTTAAAAAAATAAAGGCCACCTAATACAATTTGCTTAATATAAATTTTGGCAAGGTTCTCCATCTTGATGCAAGTTATTTAGTTGTAATCAATGGACATTTTTACAGTGACTTTCTCTACTATTGACTTCCTGGGAAGGTAGAATGGGCACTAAAAAAAACCGATGTTCAAAACCCAGATGCCATCAGAAAATGTTTGTTTAGTTTTGCAAATATCCTCTGTGTGTGAAAACTAAATAGTGTTATATAATGTAGTTGTAGACGAAGATGATTCATCAACAACATAAGACATTTTAATGACATGGTCTTAAGTATTGTAACCTTTTAAAATTAATAACCAAGTGGAGCTGAGACAAGGTAAAACATGTATACAAAGTATTTTTTAAGTGGGCATGTGTTCCTGTGACTTGCTTCATTGTGTTGATAAAAACTTAGAAAGGTTTGAAAACAAAAGCAAAGGTGATAATCTAATGTAGCCTGGAGAACGTAAAGCAAAATAAAATGCAATTTATGTTCTCCTCAGAAATTTTCATTGAAGTAAAAGAACTGATTCATCACATTTAAGTAGATTAATAGTTTAGCAGATTCAAATTGCTAATTGCATTCACAGTATTTCCAGATAATAATTGCCATTCACAGAAGGGATTACATAATCAAAGTCAGCATCCACGGGGCATATTAATCTAGATAGGAAAAAATATATATGTTAATTTGAATTTCTCATTAAGAGCATGATATATTGCTCCTCATGTTTACAAGTCATGCAGGACTAAACACTCATGAAGAATAAAAGACCTCCTCTAGTCTCCTAGTAATTTATACTATTAACAATGACTCATATACAAAAATACTATTAATTCACACAATTCACATTAGTGTTAACATAAATAAATAAATAGAATGTCTCTACATTATTCTTAATGGATTTTTCTTTCAGCTAGTATTGCAAAAACTATTCGTAGTTGGAAAATCAGCGGCAAATTTTTCATCACTTCCATGAAAGGTTGTTTGGCCCACAGAGTCACCATATTTAGAACAAACAAAGAATAAAAAACCTGCTCAAAAAACTTACACCATTAACTTCAGTAAGACAGTGTAGTGTGTAAAAATCAAGGAAATGCATACATCTTCACAGGTTTAACACCTAATTTTCTATTCACTTCCTATATAGTTGAAAGCAATTCAAAGCCTTTTGCAGCTCTGTCTTCCAGAGCTGACACAAACCAGGAATGACAGAGGCAGCTTTGTTATCTTCCATGTGCTCTGAAATGTATTTACAAGGGCAGCTAAGGGGAAAGCCCAGTTCCCTAAAGAGAGACAATGAAATGCTTGCAAATATTTCTTAAGAATTGTCTTACAAATTCGTTCTTGCTCTACGTATGTATCTATTCTTAAATGTTTAGCCATGTGCAGTGGAAAAGCTATCACTGGTGTTTCACTAAAGAAAAAATAAAAAGAAAGTAGCAAAGAAAGAAACAAAAAGAGACAGAACAAACACCAAGTAATTTTTTTATTCTGTAATTGGAAGTCTGTACCTGAGAGAATCTGGTATGATATGAAGGGCACACAAGGAATCAGAGAAACAATTTATTTAGGATTTTGATAAAATGTTTCTCTTGTAAAAATCTCATGTGATTGATCCATATATAAAACAACATGTGAAGCCCTATCCAATTTTACTTTTGCTGGTTTAAAAATGTTTCTCCCTTGTGGCCGAGGGGGCACAGAGTAACTGCACGGCAGACCAACGTGATCGATAGGCAGATCTCGTTTATTATGTGTTACAGCATTTATTTTATATTCTCACACACACACGTCACTTCATCATTGGTTAACTATAGGTACATGTCTCTACATAATTGGCCTGCAATAGTTAAACATACTTCTTACTAGTTGTACATGTTGCTATGTGATTGGTCTGTATGCAGTGTCCATGCGCTGTTCGTGCATGTGAAATCATTGTCTTTCTCTGAGAGCTCCTTCCCGTTATCTCAATAGTTTACATTCTTGCAGCCTGATATCAGTGTCAGTACTTTTCCTGCAACCTGCAAGCAGGCCTCTTGCTAAGGCCTATCAGTATGGTTTGTCCATAGTGCCTGTTCTTAGCCAAGCACCCCACACTCCCTAAATTTCAGCTAAAGCAAATAACTAAGAGCCCAAATAAAATAATATTGAAGTGCAACCTAATGTCAAGCCGTGTCTTCAAACCATGAAGTGCTCCATGGAGGGAGACATAGGTCAACAATGTCTTGTCTGCACAGGCTGTCAGGGAGTGCTCATATGTGATGAGTGAGTTCTTCAAGGGACAGTGAGAGTCCCTGTATCTTCATCTTAACCTTGTATAGCAGAACTCTCCCTCAGAAACAGCAAGCCCTCAGGGGAACAACCCTGGAGCCAAGAGGGCAATGCACAGACACTGGGGGCTACTAAAGCGTGATTCTGAGAATGACCTGCAGAGATCCCATAAAGCCACACAGAAGGAAACAGCTGGGCCTGAAAGTGGAGCTGCCCCTTTATTTTTCCTTCCATGCTGGTCTCCAGTGGGATTCCTGCATGCCAGCCCTTCAGGGACTCCAAGGGCTTTTGATGGTGGAAGCAAGGTGCTTTTTTTGTTCAACACAAGCACCTGTGCTGTGAGTCACTCTCTCACAGGTCTGTAGAGGCCATCAAAGGGAAGAGGTAGTGAGAGGGGCAGTGTTTGTCTGGATGGAACGCAAGCTAACAGAATGAGACTAGGGAAAGTAGATGTGCACAAAATACTATTTAAAATACAACCATAAACTCACTAAAAGAAGGACTGGGAGGAGCCTTGGGAAGTCATCTGCTCCCTCTCTCTGCTTTGAAATAGGTCTAACTCCACCAAAAATATTTGCAATAGGCACTTGTGTAACTTGCTTACAACAATCTTTCCAGAATAAACCATTGACTACTGCAGTCTATTCCACTGCTTAAAGAACTGCCCTGCCACCCAAACACTTAAACTGAATGGACTCTAGATAGGAGAAGACATAATGGGCTTAAATTTCAAGCACAGAGGACGCAAAATCTAATTTATGACATTCTTCCCTGCATGTCCATTAATTTTTTAAGGCAACCTGTGTATAACACAAGATTCAAATGAAGTTTCATGGGGGTATTTTGCCCAGCATTTCTTAACTTTTTTCTTCTTCCTACACCCATAAAAAACCCACCAAACAAATGACACCCAACCCAAAAAACCCAAAACCATAAACCCCCAAAAGCAGACCGCTTCTTCTCATGAAGTTTTAAAATCTTTCTTTTGTCAGTATTTTGCATGCATGAGGCTTAAACCATCTGCAGCGTGCCGACCATAGTATTCAACCAGCTATGCTGCCTGAAAGGCATAATGAGTGTCATTGAAAAATATTTAACTGGGGTACATGCCTTTTATATCAGCATGAGATAACACAGTAGAACTATAGTACTGTGCAGTGAGGGACTTAACTGGAATCAGAATTATGACAGTAATTACAGAGCAATTGTGCTATTTAGGTTCATTAAGCAAAGCAAAGGAATGATGCAAGTAAGAAGTTAAAAGGAGGGTCCTAACTTCACCATGTATTTGTTTATGTAGTAGTTTTGTATTGTGGATACCTTTATATTGTGGATATTTTTGTACAAGGCCTCTACTGAATTTGCCACAGGGTGTCACTGTTACCTTGGTGAGGGAAGGACAATGCTCAGTGTACCTGTGTGATCCATAGATGCCGCAATATCACTGAGATGGGGCTGGAATTATTTCACAACACTGTTACGATACTAGTGATACTAAACAATACTAGTTAAATACTAAAAAGTACTTAACAGTACTCTGACAATAGAAAAAATATTCTAAAGGCATCACTCTGTAAAATCTCAATAAAGGCAGATGATTAATTAAATAAATACTCTGAGGGTGATTGTGATGGTCCTTTGGACAATGCACAGGGAATGCTACTTGGGGACCAAAGCTCTCTGCTGCCTTTTCTGTCAGCAGAACTTTGGTCAACACAAAGCATGAAAAAACCCCAAACCAGCTCCCAAACCCCCCCATAAAAAATCAGAGGCAGTTCTCCTAAAGCATTAGATCTTAAATCAAGTAAAGCTCAAAGAGCAATATGCAGCATTTCACACTGATCACCCCAGGAGCTGCTGCAGATTTGAAGAAGAGGCTCCTAACCCAGCATTTCGTCCCCCTCCAAGATTGACTTTGGCTGAAAGACCACAGGATAATATGAACAGTTACCACCAGATAAGGCTCTGGGCCTAACACAAAAAACTGCTCTCAATCCATGCAAGAATTATCTCAAAAAACAGCCTTAACATTACCAAATATGTGGGAGAGCCATGAGTTTTGCTGGCATAGATCACTGAAAAAATGCTTTCAGCTCAGCAGAGCATTAGTGATGTATACCTAACCAGGATCAAGTTTAAGGAGAAAACTGAAGTAGTAATTGTCATAAAACAAAAAGCCCAGACTGAATGAGAAGATGAGTAGGAATTGTTGGGGAAAAAGGAGAAAGGAAAATTGCTTCTTTTAGAGTGACAGGAATTAAAATAAAACACATCATGCACTGCTGCACATACTCCAAACAGTTACTGTCATTAAACCTGACTTCAGCTTCTGCTGAGGCTCATTTTCTAGCACCATTGCACTAAACAGGCTTCCCTTCTATGTGATTCAATTAGACTATAAATGAAGACAAATTTTGCTGACTGTACTGTCTCACTCTTGTGCTTCATTTCCTGATGGTATCAGGACTGTGAGGTAGGGCCTCCACTCTGCTAGGTGGCCTTTGTGATCTTGCTATCTCCATTAAGAATAACTTAAAAGGTTCAGTAATTGCATATTAGAATATATATGCCTTCATATTATAACACTGAATTTCCATGCTGTGCCATGCTCTTTTATTCTTCACTGGCTTTGAGAATTGTCATTTCAGTATATTGCAAGTATCTTATTATAGAAATCATGAAATTCAAGAAAGGTATAACAACGCAAAGCAGAGCTTTTAAAATGCAAGTAACTGACAAAAACAAAAGTTAAAACATATTTTATGCTACTGCCATGCTCTGAAAAGATAAATGCCAGCCTGTTTACTACTATAAATAATAAACCTTGTTCTCTTCACAAAGATCTTATGGGGATTGATCACTTTGTATCTTACACAAGCTTGAATATGTGAAGTGCTGTGACCCAATTCCACATATGCTTTCTTTTGTGAGATTAATCTCCCTAAATGAATGTGGCAGCTCACAGCAGAAACTGCTTACTTTCCTCTTTGCATGTATAATGTTTTATATTGCAAAACAAAAGGGACTGCTGGTCTCTGGTATGGCCTTCTGGTATCTTAGAATCATACAATCCTTTAGGTTGAGAAAGATCTTTCATTAATGGCAAAATTGCAACTATTACTTAAAATTTTGGGTTTCCAGTTATCATGGACTAACAAGACGAGAAATGAATACTATAATATTATCAGTGTTTATTTTAGTAATGTACCTCCATTATCCAGAGTGAGGGGAGATGAAGAAAATCCAATACTGACATCATGAGACAGAGTATGGTGGTGGAATCCTCAATCTCCAGATAGCTTTTGGGCTGGTTTGGGCCTGTTATCTTTATCTATCGGGGCCCATTCCCTTTATTTCTGTAAACTCCCTAGGGGTAAATTAATTTTTTACCTTTATTAGGTTGTCCAAGCCTTGGTAACTCCCACACAATGTCAAACTGAAAAAAAAAATCATGAGGAAAAATTGTGAAGGGAATTGAGTATTATTCTGTCCCTGAGGCCCCACTGCCGCTTGATGTCACTATTCCTGTCAGGCAAGGGCAGGCAGGTGCATGTCTGCAAGAACTGGATTTCAGCAGGTAGGAAGCACCAAGGAAAGTCATACAGGTTATTTCAATAAGTCAAAGGATTATGCCTTATGGGCAGCACTTGTTAAAACAAATTTATTGCAAAGGCAAAGCCAGAGATTGAGTTAAGGGTGAGTCTCCTTGTGTCTGACACAAATGGGCAGGAACTTCACATGGCAAACACTATATCAGGAAACAGAGCCCTCCTCCCCCTGCATTACTACAGCTTAGTTATCAATAAAGCAAACTAAAGGAGGAGAAACTCCATAAAAAAGATAGACAAGATCTAAGCCCAAGCAGAGACCAATACATCTCATCCAGAGACTCGTACATTTCATATCGACTGTGACGCTCTTCCTGTTTGTCACTGGCCCTGGAAAGAGTCATCGTGGGGCTGATAGGGGAACAACTGAGGATTCGAGGCAAGATTTAAACAACAGGGACAGGAATGGAGGCATCTGTGCTACAACGAGACAATCATCTGTGTTTGCATCTGCCAAGGGCAATGGAATATTATGGTATTAAGAATAGAACAAGATTTTCACTAAGAGGATATTTTAATAGTCATTCCAAAGTAGAAGGATAAATAAATAAAATGC